CCCTAAAATGTAAAAAGAACTGTGATTTATTGGACGATATTTCGGCGGAATCGATTACTCGTTTTCATGTCTGAGGAGGGTAATATGCCTGTCTAAGGAAGTATGATTAGAATGTCAAAAACATCAAAATGTAACCGGTCTTTTGGCAAGGCATAAGATAGGGGAAAAAGAAGGGAAGGTATCCGATTATCGGTCAAATTGAGCAAACGACATTTTTTGATAGCAAAGTTTTTTGAAGTACTGAGATACCAGTATGCATACGTACAGGTCTATCGATAGCCTAACATGCGGCGCCGATTGTGTAGGCTATTTGTTTCGACTCGATAAAGAAGCAGCGTGTCGGACCACCACGGGAATGGAGAAATTAAGTGCCTGGAGAGGGATGTAGGAGTTACTGATTTTTTGATTGTCACCGAAAGTCAGGCGTTCTGCTTCGCATTTACTTCCATTCGAGTTGACAAAGGGCACTGCTCTGCTTGTTGCACACAATGCCAGTTTTGGTTGTGCGGACTTTCTGGTCAAAAAGCCTTTCCCTGTGACTGCCCCGACCTCCAGACAAAATCAGACGTTTAGAAGAGTCGACGGCGTGTCCCGTTTTGTAGTCATGTGAGTGAAGCCCACACGTCCTTCGAAATATTGTTCCCTAAATTACTGTAGTTTCTGAGATTATTGAAAACTTTGTATTTTTTTGAAGTGAGGGGGGGTTACTAAAATTTCCTTTGAATGAGAATTATTTTAGGTCACGTGCTTATACGCGTGTGTAGTTGAAGTCATTCAGTGTATTACCAAACGTTTCAGAACTATTGATATCAAGCATATTTGGACCGGAATTCAGATTTACTGTCCCCTTATTACCATATTCTTTCATTTGTTGTCCTGTCTCCTACGTTCGTTTTCATAACCCTTTTTATTTTAATATTCTCTTCCTTGTTTCTTTGGTTATTCGAGGAGTGTATGAAGCCTTATAAATGCGGAAGTGATACTTGGCGGAATGTGTAGTCAGCAGTGAATAATGCAGTCGCTCGTGCTTTCAAACAACTGTATTTTCAGCTTAAATAAAAACAAAATCCTCATTAGCATCGACGCAGGAAATGAGACGGCATAAAATAACGTGAAGTCCCGTTGTTTGAAACGCTGCATAACAACCAGAGTTTTAAATGAAGTTTGACGGCGCATAAAAGTAAAGGCTTAATTTTGTAAGTTTGATTTGCGTTCATGAACTCGGATGTAGCAAACAGGAAAATCCCTCCTATACTAACCGATGGGGTCCGTTTTTCAAAGCGGTGTTGCATTTAACGATCAAAGATCACTCTGGGCTTCGGCATTAGCCCGGAGTAATCCGAGGTCGCCTAAAAAGGTCATGAAGCATTGGCAGAAATCTTTCAGAAACCGGTATCTTGAAATGTTGACCGAAATTCTGAAATACATTTTCCATTAGGAAGGATTACTTAAGTGGCGTCTTAACATTGGTTAATCTGTCAAATGGTCTCCTGATATTTCAAGCACGTCAAGATGTTGACTTTCGGAGAAACTTTTTTTGTCACCCACAGAATCCGCACGAGATAAAAACGGCTACTCATGCAGTGTGTAGTTTTATTATTGATTTTTGATACTCCTATAAGTTCATAAGCATCTTATATAAAACCCGCGTAAAAATGTCCTTTTAGCTCACTCGGTGGTCAACCAAAGAGAGGGTATCTTTTGGTTTTTCAAAAGTTTATAATTATGAGGTCTTCTAAGACTGTGCAATGTTCATTCGAATAGTATCTTATTTGTCTATGTAGTGAAACGCCTTATAAAGCATTCAACATAGCCTACATTCGTTACAATATTGTATGAGTTGCGTATGTTTTCTAAATTACGTGAAACAATGCAACCGACAGGACAACGAGCCCCCAATAAGGTGGTTAGGGACGCTGGACCTCAGACCAACGGGTTGCGGGATTTATAACCAGGTGTCTCACCTCTTGTGGTTGGGCATGACTGACTGACGACGGTTAATAAGCTAGAAGTGGCCACTTCAGTCTCCTTCCTCTTTGTCGGTAATGTTATAATGCAGGTTTTCTTTACACGAAAAGTAAACCGTTCGAAGACTTAAAATCCTGAGATAAATTTCAATGGCAGATCATGCTAAAAATCGTTCGGAAATTTAAAAACTTCAGAAAACGGAAAGATTTCATTTTGTAAAGTATATAATTTAAAAATAGCAAGATTTTCTATCGGCTGAGTACAAGAAATAATACTTTTATGGCGTTTTTCGAAACCCGTTTAAATTTGTAAGCGCATAGATGAATAAATTGGAAACTGCATACTGTTTGTGTGGTCATTCTTTATCCAGTTCGATTTTTGTAGGCGGCTGAAGAACAGTACATTCGAAAAGCAATATCTCGTCCTGTCTGAATTAACAGGGAATCCCGTCGTCTTACGGCTCCATTTATATAATCCTTCCTAATCGAAAGTGCAGTTAAGAATTTTAACTAACATTTTGTGAGATCTATCACTGACCGTAAGTGTATATAAGTGCGGTTGCCACACTGATTAGTATGGAGCCCAATCTAAAGCTGCGTACACATGATTTCTTACAGCATTTCAAGTCAGACTGTTAACCGGCCTCTGGTATGTAATATCTGGGAAGAAAATAATGTCCGCTTTTTCTAAAGATTTTCAAGTGAACGAATGAACGAAAGCCTTATTTTGCATGTCAAAGTGGTAAAACACCACACTTTCTTCCTATGTTTTGTTTGGTAGAAAGAGCTACTCTGCGCGGGGAAATGGTTTAAATTATGGTAATCGTGAAATCTCCAGGAGAAATACTCATGTAGTCACTTTTAGGCAAATTTGTTTATTATGACAGATGGGCGCTCACCGATAAGGTTAGAGAACGTGCTCGTTCTCTTGTGCCTTGGGGCTCATACTTAAACCCTCGCAGGCAGTCGCACAGCGACTAGTGATATATGTTGATAAGGTGATACCGACAAAGACAAGGGAGACCGGGATGGCCATTTCTGGCTTATTAGCCGTCATTAGCCAGCCATACCCAACCCCAAGTGTGGATCACTTGAGATTCGAACCCGGGATCTTTGGTCATGTTTATGCTCTCTGCAAAGTACCTGACAATTTGTCCACTGCCTGCTCCATGGAATATTGGCCGTAAGACGGTGATTTGTTCGATAAAATGCGATAAAAATATGCGTACAAACGGATTCTATGCAGGTTTTTAAAAAGTATTTATGTTGGATCCTGTTTCATGGAGAAAAATCGGATTAACTCAGGGAATTTGGAAAACCCTAAAATCATCTCTACTACCTACACTATTCGAAAACTTCATTTAACGTCGAAGCTGAATATGTAAAGTGAGTGGTTATTTAAATTAATGCTAATGAAATATCTAAAACAGGCTTGGGCTGTAAAGGCTCTCTGCTGGAGCTCCAATGTGAAGCTGGAAAAACATTATTTTTGCAGCCAACTCGGTGAAGAACCAATTCCACACGCTTTTGGTACCATTTCAGTTTATGAAAATTCAAAGTTAGGGTATTTCCCTTAATGTCATGTCGGCTTCCTGGCGTTCTTCTTCTAATATCATTGGAATTTAGAACGCCTCGAAGGCATGCTTATCCAGACCCTGCACAAGCTGTCGATAATAATAGATCTTTGCATTACATCGGCGCACAAATAATCTGTTTCGGGAATTTACAATCCGTTAAAAACGTTTCCTCTCAAATAGCATAGAACGTCTGTTTCTAGTTGGAAGTTAGTAACACCGTCTTTACCCGCCTGCGCATTTTCGAAATTGTTAATTTCCTCAGTATTTATGGCCAGACTATACGAATAAGGTAACTTTCCACCCCTTATTGTATCCTTAAAACACTTTTTCGGTCTAAACAACGCAGAGTTAAGAATTTGAAATTTTCATTCCAATTACCTTTCCTCGTATATAATTTTTCGGCTGCGACAGCCCTTGCTCAATCCCCGCCCGCTCCCCTCCCCAAAAAAATACTTAACCTCATTTACAAAAAACCGCGGCCAAAAACAACTTACACAGCACAGCGAAAGGTAGATTTGCATTTCCTCGATTCAAACTTGCAATATGCAGGGGGGGTTGAAAGTGTATGTAGGGATATCTTTTAACTAACATTTCACGGTAGAAAGCAGTGCCTGGGAAGCAAATCTGGCATCAATTTCTTGGTGAAAACAATTTTAAATTCCTACTATATTAAATTCAGTAGAAATGGTTTACTAAAGTAACAACATAAAAGTAAGCACTTTATCCTGCAGTCCAGTTTTCTCACCTAGCAAGTTCATAGCCATATCCGTATTTTCCCTACCCACTAGCGGGTGTTTGGCTTCCGAGAGAATCCGAATAAACAACGTCAGATATGGTCTGGAGTATAAGCCTCGCGCTAATGACAAATGAACCAAGGGCCTCTTATAAAGATATGGAAAATATATTTGTTGGAAGTATTAATTCGATGTGACCAGATAAATGGAAGAATACTTCTTGAATAAAATTGGGCGCGATTTAAGGCTAATGGACCGTCCAACAATCCCAGCAGGTTTCCTACAAATGAATGAGTACACCAAGTGCGCACCAGTCAACATGTAATAAAAAGCATAGCCAGCGTCACTGTAAACAGGCAGAATTTCGCGGAAGGGAAAACAAGATAGAATCTTCGTGAGCCATAGATTAGTTATTACTACCTAAATTTTGATTTTATTTTACGGAAATTTATATCGGAACGAGCTAAGGACGGTCGTGATTGTGCCTGGATGGACAGATACCCATTGTTTTTCCCGAAGGACTGACTTTCTAACTGGTAGTATTGTACAGACGGTTCAGACAGCAAAAAGACAAATTATTTAAATAAACTCTCTCTCTCGTCCGTTTTGGCAAGCCAGTTGATAAAACAGGAAAACTGGCATTCAAGATGAAATTATAAAGAGAACCTGTAGTATATAGGAGTATATTGTACATTTTACGTAACAAAATGCAGAAAAGCGGCTTAGGTTTTCCGGCGGGTGATGTGGTCATAAAGAACAAATTGCAAATACTCATTCGTAAGAACAACGATGCGGGTGGTATTGTCTCCTGGAGATGGTAGCTAAAAAAGGAAGCCAAAGCACGTTATTTTATGGCATGCACAATTCCTTTTGGAAAAAACTTGGACTGGGTTTACAATATCTTCGGTGGGTTATCGGACCCCACAAAAAGCCACGTAACTAAAAACTTGCGTGTTAATAGCGAAGGTGGTGAAGAAAGGCGTAGATCAAGCTTACTGGACCATGTATACTTTTAATTCTGCGATCCATTAATTTGCACCTGGTGTGGCTGCGAACAGGACTGGCCTAGCCAGCCTCGATACTGCCAAGGTGAGAGGTACTCTCACCTCGTGGCCATCTGCGACAACAGATCTCGACAACTCGATCCATTATCTTCGCCAACGATGGAAACCGAATACCGAAGGTCCAAGAACGACTATCATGTCTTGACGAACTATATAAAGTCGGATTTTGAGTTGACCCCTTACTTGACGCCTCCAAGTAGGTAATGGTGCCGGATCGGGACCAGTAACACTGCGCTCATTAGGTGGACAACGAAGAACGTGCCTAAACCACCTTAGTTGTCTTTTGTGTATGGCCTGGGGCATGAATGAATTTTTGTTACAGAGAGTTCGGACTGTCTCATTTGGGACGAAGTCGGCCTCTTTCATTCGAGGAATGGTGTCCACGGAGTGTTGGTCAAATACATCCAGTTTTCGCTCGTCTTCCACGCGCACAGCCCAGCAGTCACAACCGTAGAAATGTACCGTTCAGGTGGATTCACGGTACACGCGAATTTTCGTGGCGATGGGCGTGTTGCGTCGGATCCATTTATGCCTTTTACTGGGGCTTGAAAAAACCCGGCGAGCAGCCTTGGTTCAAGAGGCTATGTAGTCCTTACTCTGTTTATCCGGCAGCAGTCTCATTTCAAGATAGCTCAACGTTCCTTCTTCTTCATTTGATAGTCATTAATCTTGAGAGTTACCTTCACATCGCCAAGGATACACCTTAAAAACACTTCAATCGTCCGAGCGTTTATGGACAAACCGACGAAGTCGCAACTCTATCCACCTTCGAAGCGAAACACCTTAGCTCACCAAAGCTAGCAGCTAACAAGACGATATTATCGGCACAGTCTAGATCGGTCAGTCGGCGTCCGGGTGTTAAGCTTACATCCTCAGCTCCGACAAAGAAAAGGGAGACTGGTCTGACTATTACTAGCCTGTTACTCTTCATCAGTTAGCCATATCCAAACCCTAGGTATGCGACCCTTGAGGCTCAAACGCGCGACCTGTTGGTTAGTGAGTTTCATAACATACCCCGTGTGCGCCCCTCTTTTGCCATTATCTTCGTGTAGGGCCTTCCTGAAAATCTGGTCAGCGGCGCAGATGGGCAGATTGGGCGACAGAATGCAAACGACTGGGGGAGATTGTTATAAACCAGAACTCATGCGATAATGCATCGTTAGTAGGTCTTCGTCCTGGCAATAATTTTGGCCAGCATGTCACCTTGTTCCTTTATTTGCCGCAGGAACTCACGGTGAACGAAAGTGAAAGCGATTGCAAATTTAACAAAGCAGACGATCGTCGGTTACTGGTCACCATAAATAAACTCAAGAGTGAGCCTCTGTGTGAATATCTGGCCGGCAAATCCTCACCCAGCCAGGAACCCATCTTGGCTGGCTTTCGTCATGCACAGCTTGAACTCGCCCGATAAGAACGACGGCAACGACATTCGCAGTAACGTCGATAAGGCTAATGCCGCGGTAGTTCTCCTGTCTTGTCTTAAATCTCTTCTTGAAGACGGGCACAAGGATACCTGAGCTTAGGAACGATCACATTTCTTCACGCCTGCTCCATCACCCCACGTGGCGAGGGCGCTAGTGTGTAGATTTCAGAGGGAATGCCGTCTTTTCTGAGTGTACTGTTGTTGCGCGGCCTTTTTGTTGGGCCGGTTGCTTCTTCCCTCTGAAGGGAGTTGCATGACACGACATAGGTTGGGGAGGGATAAAACTCCGCGAGGGAAGAGAAGGATCGTGCGAGGTGTCGGGCATCGAAACTGAGAAAGTACACGAGATGTACACGTCAGCGCTTGATTTTGGTCGTTGTCAGAAATAAAGCCGCCAATCACATCTCGAATAGAGTTACTCAGTGCAAAGAGCTTATCTTTAACTTGGCGAACAATTTAATGGAGTTTTTGGGTGTCACCAACGTTTGAGGCCTGCTCCATGGAGGTCGCTATTTCAGTCCAATATTTGCGCCGGTAGTCCCTAACTGAGATTTCTGCCGATTTTCGAAGTTGGCTGAGGGAATCGCCATTGCTGGGCATGGCTATGGACGTCTAAGCAAACAACTGTAAGGATTTTCCGCTGATCTACTCACTGAGGCGTCGCTAGGTTTATCCATTAACGTCGAGTTTATGTCCTCAATTGCGTGAAGACTGACACATTTTAAATCGGGTCAGCCATTTAATCACGTATTACTTATCTCTATATTTAGGACGACCTGGGGAACCAGCGTCGAAACCGTGCAAAACAAAGTTTGTTCAATTTCTCAAAGGACTTATTTTTCTTTAAAGTATGTTTTTTGGGATGCCGATCTTCCAGTACATAGTAAGGAGTATATAATTGCGCGTTTCCTTCTTGGAAAATGGGGAGAATTACGGCTAACAAAATGAGTATCAGGAGAGTTGCATGTATGGGGATAATATCATTACCCAAGTGTTCTAACGCAATCAATATTGCATCGGATTATTTTATGGTAAGATTTGGTTATGCAGCCGCACCCGATGGGCTAGGGGTTAGGGTTAGGAGTTAGGGTTGGGGGTTAAGACTAGAGCATCGGATGTTTATCTAAATCTGAGGCACGGTTGGCAAACGAGACGCGTCTTTTTGTTCTTTCATCGCGGACAGAGGTCAAAATTATAACGGAAACTTACCCATGGATCAACATTTAGAATTTTACGGTCCCGTTTGTTTTTGAAAAGAATTCCACCTGGATTATCCGTAATCACCGCATAATTTGGAGTGGGATTAGCGGTTATATTCTGCGTTTCCCAATTGAAATAACTAGAACAAAAGAACATAGCGATAAGAAACAGTGGCACAGTCTACTTATTTGCACAGTTCTTGCATTTACACTTATATGTTGGAATGTATAGGTGATCCCACATTGTTACTGCTAACAAAAAGTTTCATTATTTATATTTTTGCTTCTCTATGGGGAAGGCGGTTACGACAACCTAACCATCCAATCTGACAATGTTCAACATCGCCCTACGAGGCTAGCGCAGCCAGGCTTGGGCAAGATGTTGTGCATGAGAAGGTCTGTTTGCGTTGTATCTATTGCATTTATGGGGGTCTTTGATCTCACGAGAGAGAGAGAGAAGGAAGAAGCTCCAGTATTATGGCCCACAGTTCTAAGTAAAACCGAGTTATTTCGTCAATGAACAACCCTTAAAATCGCAACTGTGGGAACGCTGTGATTGGACTACAGCGTAGTTAGAAGGCTATGGTGAGGAAATAAGCAAATTATCCGAACTGGGTGGACCTGACCTTCCTCTTCTTCTCGAAAAAGACCAGTGTCTTGCGCCACTTACGACGACTTCTGATGAGGTTGGGGTCAGTGACTGGCATGATGTGAAGTCGCCGCTTAACACGTACCATGCATATATATGCCGATTCTATTGAAGTGAGGTGTACTGTACTGTCTCAAATGAAGACTGAGATATCTTACTAGCTGTCAATCTTCCATGGGGTGATTTGAGCGCATCTTTGGGGGTGTAAGCGCGCCAGAAGTATTATATTTAGGCAGGTTTTGATTTTCAAAGAAAAACATTGTCTCTATCGTCTTTACTTTCTTCTTCTTCTCCCACGAATCATCACCTTATTTGATTTCATCAGTCCTCTGCAGGCTATGCTAAATGCTTTGTTGTGTGACTCAGGCACACGGGAGCGGCAAGTTTAATCACAAGAGTCGCAAAATCCCTCGTGCGCAGTTAACCGTTCTCGGGTGTTGTTACCTAAAAAGGACGTCGTCAAACTGCTCAATCGATGTGTTTTTATACGGTAAGGAAAAGTTGAAATTTTGAGCAAAAGTAATTTTGGCTGGGTTGCACCTAAAAGGCATTGATGAAGGAAAATTGACGATTCAGTTTATAATCTTAAAAAGCTGGCGCGTGCAAAAACGCCCCACGCATTCCGTAACGAAACCTCTAAAAATGTCATCGTGACAGTCTAATATTTATCTCAATCCGCCTTATTAGCGTAGCATAAGTAGATAAAACGAGGTGTGCAAGTTTTATTGAAGTTTCATTTCAAAGGCTGCTTTTTAAAAGTGAATAAAATTCTTAAAAAACGATCTTTACTAGGGGGATAAAGTTGTTCAATGCGGCATTTGGTCACTGTGCAGGCAATCTGAAATAACGAGCATGTCTGTAAGCAATGGACAATCATAATTCAGTTCGCAAAATTTTCAATTGTTTCATATGTATGAAGATTCTGACTTCCTTAACCAGATGTGAGGTTTGATGGATTCCCAGAGCCAATCAGCAAATGTAAAATAACTAGCCGTTAATTTGATGTCTTGGACCTAAATATTACAGACAAACACCAGTGAATTCGGGTTTAAAATTGCGGCGAACATGTTTGTTAGCAAAGTAACTAAGTGAGGAATTGTACCTTAGGTCACCCATTCTGGGCAGAAGGCGCTTCTTTTGAAGAAAATATCCGGCAAAGTCCTCCGTTTTTAGTCGATGCGCATAGTCAATATAGCCTGATATTTCCTGATTACGTTGGTTTTTGTCCCGAATAAAAATTATGGTCTATATTGACGATTAACAAACTTAGGCAACTAACCGACATTTTACCATTTCGATTGGCTTCCTCTCTGTTGGCGAGAGCAATTAATGCTGGTTCTGTTATGATCATTCCTTCACTGACTATCGCCCTAAAATACAAACAGAACGGTATCTTCACTGCTATTATGACTTAGCATAAGTGAAATTAATAATTGTTTTGGCCGATTTTCAGGGATTTATATTAACACAACTGTGAAAAACTCGGCGTCCCATTGGGATTCGAATTTAGGACAGCAAGGGGAGGCTTTAGTACAGTCAACGCTCTAGACACCTCAGCTTCAACGTCCCACCGGGAGACATGAGTTTAATCACAGTTTGGCCAAGCTACCCGCCCAATCCACTGCGACGTCTGGAATCCACCAAATCCGATATAGTAAGCCGGCTGCCCAAGCAGAATTTCCTAAGTAATCCATTTAGAATTCACCAGATGAGTACAAGACTAGTGTAATTAGTAACTGTTTTGGTGGGTTCGGCATGTAACTTGACCAAAATATGATTAGGCTCCAGTCTTTCGGTTGGGCCTCGTAGCTGTATCAAAGCCTCTCCTTGCTGCCATGGGTTTGAGTTCTACCAAGACGCCGAGTTTTCACAGCTGAGTCAATATGAATAAATGTAGTTGTTAAAGCAATAACCTACTTGGTCACAGGCGTATCAGGTATTTGCATTTAATTTCGAATTTATGGGATATTTTGGACTACTGCCAAAAATAAGAACAGCAATGTTGAGTTTTCCATGTACAAGTAACCGTGTATTTTTCCTGGTCTCTTGAGTATGAGCTTTAAAATAATAGATCTCGAATTGCTGAAAAAGGTTTCGATATCAGTTATTTCATTATTTGGTATATGAAATACCGAGTCAAAATGTTGCTGAATGCTTGCATGTTTCATTACAGACAAAGTGTCTCAATAACTAATTTTAAAACATGAAAAAACATGAATTAAAAAAATGCGTGGATCCGCATGTAAGAACTAAAAAAAGAGGAGTTGCCCAACAAAGACCAAGATAAATTTGATAGCGATGAAATATAACCAAAATTTTTTATGCTTAAGTATAGGCATAACCGGTTCAGTAGTTGCCTCGTTCTGAGGTTTAAATCATATGCAAAAGGAGACAAGTGATGTTTACATGTTTGTTCTGATCACCGGACGTAAACAAAAAGCCCTTTTCCTGCTCGTGATCTAAATCCAGCTGAAACAAATACCCATCCAGACGGTCGGTCAATCATTACTCATCTGGAAGTGTCACGGTAAACTTTTCAATTACGCTCTAAACCTGGGGAAGATGAAAAGCATTACAAAGCTTGAGGTTTTCTTGCAGGTTAATTGTATACGTAATAATTTAAATTAGCAGTTTGAATGCTCCTTAGTCAGAATATGGCCGCTAATAAGGGCCCGAGGTGGGGCCAAGCAGAACATTGTCCCATGATTATTGAGGTAACGTCAAGACGCAGCATCCGTCAACTGTCCCATCCAACTTCCGTTTTCCCCTAATTCCATATAACCGAAATTAGTTATTGTATTCGTGGCTGCGTGGACAAGTAACTGCTTGCATAATTAATTAAATGGATTGGGGAAATCGTACTTTGAACGTACTTAGGCTCGATTTGCTATAATGAAAATTATCTCAGTAAATGGTGCATTCCCGCCGCGATTCCCCTATAAAATTCCCTTTAAAGCCGTATACAATGTTTCTGTAATGCGCTTCGAACCACTCTCACTTAATGGGTTAAAACTGTACATCATTTATTGTCGTGAACGTGCTTTTATTGTAGGATTACTATGAAAATAAACGGATTTATAAATTCGCTACTATTTATATTCACAGAGTCTCTCTACGCTCAGATACTTTATATGATGCAGACCAATGTAGACAAAGAATCTAACTTTTTCTTTATTTTTCTGGCCTCCATTTCTTTCGCAATGTCAATTTTCTTTTGGTTGAAGTCTTCTCTTTTTATAATTTCGCCGCTTCCTCTGTACCCCAGTTCCACCAGTTCCCTTGCAAGAGATTCATCCTATTTAAAGTTAACAAATTCCTTTTATTCCCACTTCTAAATAGAATAGATCAGCTTGGGTTATTTGAGAATCCAAAAAGTCTTCATAAGTGTCGAATTGTAAACAGATGTTTTCGAGCCCCTCCGCACGTTCGTCCTCCATTTCTATTGGCAACGCATGCAAAGGTCATAGTAGGCAATAGTAAAACTGCAAGGTCAACGTCTTATACGGCTCGAATATGGACTGAACCCTAAGTTCCCCTTTTATCAACTTTTATTTTTCCAGTTTCCCATAAGCCTCGAAGAAGTTCTCCGACCAGAGCCCGAGGTCTCTGGAAGTCACACACAGAAATGTTTTGGAGTCAAATGCGGCAAAAGTACATTATCGTTTATTTCTGATCAAGTCTGTTCTATAATTTAGAGCAAAACAGTAAAATTCTAGAAAGCCAATGAACAGTAGTTATGGGAGAAATGGTCGAGGAAGTTCAGACACGTCAGCCCTGCCAGGGGCTTTTGGAGTGGAGTGTGACAGTGACTCACACCGAAAATCCACCGCTGTCGCACGACGTGGCAGGATGCTGCATACTTAGTAAAACACCCGATAAAGCAGTATGTAGGAGTAAAGCTCGTAAGAAAACATAATTGAAAGAGTAAGCAATTTTTTACAGCCTAGTATCTCTGGACAAAGAACGAAACTTGGACCGCTGCCTAGCCCATCGAGATAGACAAATATGTACTGCGGCAACGTCGACGAACGAACTCGCCCTTACACAAGACACTGCGAAAAAATGACGTTCATGTTAATTTTATCATGAAATATAGCGAAGAACGTCCCTTAAAAACGAAGGCGCCGGATGCTAAAAGGAAATCTCTAATCATCAGAATACCGTTTCGCGTGGATCCGAGACACGAACTTCCACAACGTTGCTTAAACTCTGATATCGCCCGAACTTACACAGCAGCCAAATTAAGACACGCTGTCCATAGCACTCTGCCTCTTTTCTTAAACGACAGGGTTTATCTCGCTTTTCAGCGATCTTCGATGTGTATCTACGCCTTTACTTGTTTCTGTGTGGCAGGTCATGCTGGCAGAACGACTAAGTACCTATTAAGGAGGACGCAAGGAGATCACTCCTTCCGGTTCTCTCACAAGAAGAAATAACAGTTGAATAGTGATTCCGGCTCTGGAGTTGACAGCGGCCACGGGTTGACGTCCTAAGTCGTCTGTAAAGTGCCGACGACGTACTCCAAGTTCCTGATTTCGCGGATACTTGCAACGTCAGTGGCAGTGACCATAAGGTTGGCCAACCAAGGTTTGTGTTAGCATATGCAAGCCCTCAAACTGGCCTGGTTTAAGGTGAGTCCAGCATGTTAGTTCCCGCATGCGGCCACCTTGCGCTACATAAACATAAGTCTAAATCACTGCAACACTCCTCCTATCCATTTTCTCCACCTCCGAAATCCTCTGGCGGAACAGATATACCTGAACGCCCTCGACTATTTCCCCGGCAATTACCAATGACTGGCAATTTAAGTTTACATTGTTTTACTATGATTCTATTACCGTAAAGACTTTGGAATAAATAATCGGAGACCTATGAAGACGTATGAGTTCATCTTACGCCCAAATCAGAACAATTTCCTAAACAGAAAATTCTGACTCGAAAACGTCCTGGTAAAAGTGGGCATACGCAGTGGGAAATCTCCCAAAACGCAAAAGTCGAAGCTGGTTTTGCTGAAATCAGTGAAGATTTGGGCAATGTGGACAGCCATTTACTTGTTGAGAAAGCTAGTACCATGTTCCAGCAGACGATGCGGATCGTCAGATGGGCAGAAATAATTTCATTAAATCATTCTTGGTATGTGCCGAAACGCAGTTTAAGAGGAATAACCTGCCTACAATGGGGCTGATCAAGGGTTTGCGGCAGAAGCATCGAAGCTTCTAGACTATAAAAAAGGTCTATGGAAGATAGTTTCGACTAAAAACCTGATGGTCACTGATGATGGATTTTTCAGACTAGGCGCAGAACCGTTACCATATTCAAGGCCTTTTTGTGTCTGTATAAGACAATCAATGGAGTCGTGAGATAAATGCATAAAGGAGGAAATTTCTGGCGCTTACCATATGATGGGATTGGATTGTCCAGGATCTGGACACTGCTGCTGATTTTGCGCATTGTAGCGGCTAAGCGGTGATGGTGTACGCTCAGTACGCCACAACTTCAGGCCATACCCGAAGTGGTTAGAAGCAGGACGCCATTTGGTTAGGACACTTTATTCTCTATAGAATAATGATGGGGAAAGTTAGCAATCGGACGAGGATGCCTCCGGCGCCGCAGAGGCGGAGTCTGCGAGAGCGACGAGCCCTGTGTCGTCGAAGGTCGCCGCTGCAAAAGTGTTGCTGCACATTGTTTACTCTATTGCTCTGGACCGTTCCCGCCTGTCTTATCATTCAGCGATAGGAGTTGCGTTGATTGGCTCCGAACCCACGCGAAGGTAATAACAAGCCTCGCGTGGTGCAGGCAGATAATCGACCAGATGCGTGGTGCAGACAGTGAATTGCAACGAGAGAAATCGAAGCCCGCAAACGTGCGTGCCATAGCAGGCTGTTGCTAGGACGTAGGTGCAGGCGCTAGCGAGAGGCGCGAAGTAGCCATTAGGGCTGTCCACTATAGCATCACAGAAAAAACAGCCCGCAAATGACGGTTAAATTCTTAAAGATTGCAGCCTGCGCACGCAACAAACAATTAATATCCTAAAAAACCTTTTCTAACTCTGATCTATCCTACGTTTTGAATCATTTTAAATACGCCGTACAAGTGTGACCTACATAACGTTTTCAGACTATACAGTATTATACAATCCGAGAATTGAAAAAACCTGATCACATACTTTAGAACCTACATAGTACGAAATGCTGAAATTACCGAATATCCTTCCCTGATGTAGAGAAGGCTACCGGCGGTCCTTGTGGAATATCACTAATTACTTCAAGTGACTGGAAAGTTGAAAACTGATCTGGTTTTCATGCGTTCTAAAAATATCCATCGCAGAGGCATTCAAAACAGTTATCCAAG